ATGGGACGGAGCCAGGACACTCTGAACAGTGTCCAGACGTCGTCAGAGAAGAGTGAGAGAGGAGGAGGTGCAGAGGAGCAGAGTGAGGGAGGAGGAGGTGCAGAGGAGCAGAGTGAGGGAGTAGGAGGTACAGTCTCAGAGGAGCAGGCGCCTTGTTGTTACAGACGCCTCGTTAGAATCTAAGCCCCACCCATAGGCGTGTTAAAGCCCCGCCCATATTTAGTGCATGTGCAGCTGTGGTGGAAGCACAGCTTTAGACACAGGGCCCAGTGGAAAGTTACGTACCTCAGCTTTACCAACAGTGTTCTGCCTCAGACAGCGCCCCCTGCAGTGCAGCCGTGGACCAGTGGGAGGTGATCGTGGAGCGCGCCTGTCTCCTCCTGCTGCAGACTCTGACTGGTCTGCACAGACTGCAGCGCCTCCTCTGGAGACTCATGGAACTGCACAGCCTCAAGATTGTGTCATCTGGGATCATCTGGGTCTCTCTGCAGGAGGTAACACACCTGGACCTCACAGCAAGAAGGTCCTGGCTTTCTGAGTGGAGTTCATATGTAGTCAGTGTAGGTTTCCTCCAGGTGCTCCGTATTCCCTTAGCACTAAAACATGTACAATAGGTTTGTGCCTCCTGTCTGCTTCATTTGTGTGAGGAGTTAGAGAGACCAGAGAAAGAGAGACCAGAGAGAGACCAGAGAGAGACCAGAGAGAGACCAGAGAAAGAGACCAGAGAGAGACCAGAGAGAGAGACCAGAGAGACCTGAGAGAGAGACCAGCGAGAGACCAGAGAGAGAGACCAGAGAGAGACCAGAGAGAGAGACCGGAGAGGGGCCAGAGAGAGAGACCAGAAAGAGACCAGAGAGAGACCAGAGAGAGACCAGAGAGAGACCAGAGACACCTGAGAGAGACCAGAGAGACCTGAGAGACACCTGTTAGAAACATATCCTGTTATTGACTGTTGCAGGTGTCTCTGATGAACATTCTCTTCCTGGTCCTCTGGGTCGTAGCGCTCCCGTTTCCACGGTTACGGCCGGTGGCGTCCAGTGTGTCTGCGGTTCACGCCTGCATCGTGGTCGTCTGTAAAATGTTCTACCAACTCAAGGTCATCAGGCCCCAGGACTACTCCTCCAACTGCACTGAGGTACGGGACCTCACTGAGGTACGGGACCTCACTGACGTACGGGACTATACTGAGGTACAGGACCTCACTGCGGAACGGGACTATACTGAGGTACGGGACTATACTGAGGTACGGGACCTCACTGAGGTACGGGACTATACTGAGGTACGGGACCTCACTGCGGAACGGGACTATACTGAGGTACGGGACCTCAGAGGTACGGGACTATACTGAGGTACGGGACCTCACTGCGGAACGGGACTATACTGAGGTACGGGACCTCAGAGGTACGGGACTATACGGAGGTGCGGGACCTCAGAGGTACGGGACTATACTGAGGTACGGGACCTCAGAGGTACGGGACTATACTGAGGTACGGGACTATACGGAGGTGCGGGACCTCAGAGGTACGGGACTATACTGAGGTACGGGACTATACTGAGGTACGGGACCTCAGAGGTACGGGACTATACTGAGGTACGGGACTATACTGAGGTACGGGACTATACTGAGGTACGGGACTTCACCGAGGTACGGGACCTCACTGGGGACCTCATTGTGGACCTCACTGTGGGGACCTCGAAGAAACAAACACTCATCACATTGATTTGTTTAAATAGATACCAATATTATTACTAATAATATTATTATTATTATTATTATTTAGGGCCGAACTTTAACGCAATAATAACGGCTTATTAACCGAGCGCGAGGTCTGTATGGAGAAATATCAGACCGAGCCTTAATGCACAGACCGAGCCTTAATGCACAGACCGAGCCTTAATGTACAGACCGAGCCTTAATGCACAGACCGAGCCTTAATGCACAGACCGAGCCTTAATGTACAGACCGAGCCTTAATGTACAGACCGAGCCTTAATGCACAGACAGAGCCTTAATGCACAGACCGAGCCTTAATGTACAGACCGAGCCTTAATGTACAGACCGAGCCTTAATGTACAGACCGAGCCTTAATGTACAGACCGAGTCTTAATGTACAGACCGAGCCTTAATGCACAGACCGAGCCTTAATGTACAGACCGAGCCTTAATGCACAGACCGAGCCTTAATGCACAGACCGAGCCTTAATGCACAGACCGAGCCTTAATGCACAGACAGAGCCTTAATGCACAGACCGAGCCTTAATGCACAGACCGAGCCTTAATGTACAGACCGAGCCTTAATGTACAGACCGAGCCTTAATGTACAGACCGAGCCTTAATGCACAGACCGAGCCTTAATGCACAGACCGAGCCTTAATGCACAGACCGAGCCTTAATGCACAGACCGAGCCTTAATGTACAGACCGAGCCACCGAGCCTTAATGTACAGACCGAGCCTTAATGTACAGACCGAGCCTTAATGCACAGAGAGCCGAGCCTTAATGCACAGACCGAGCCTTAATGCACAGACCGAGCCTTAATGTACAGACCGAGCCTTAATGTACAGACCGAGCCTTAATGTACAGACCGAGCCTTAATGTACAGACCGAGCCTTAATGCACAGACCGAGCCTTAATGCACAGACCGAGCCTTAATGCACAGACCGAGCCTTAATGCACAGACCGAGCCTTAATGTACAGACCGAGCCTTAATGTACAGACCGAGCCACCGAGCCTTAATGTACAGACCGAGCCTTAATGCACAGACCGAGCCTTAATGTACAGACCGAGCCTTAATGCACAGACCGAGCCTTGACGACCGAGCCTTAATGCACAGACCGAGCCTTAATGTACAGACCGAGCCTTAATGCACAGACCGAGCCTTAATGTACAGACCGAGCCTTAATGCACAGACCGAGCCTTAATGTACAGACCGAGCCTTAATGCACAGACCGAGCCTTAATGCACAGACCGAGCCTTAATGCACAGACCGAGCCTTAATGCACAGACCGAGCCTTAATGTACAGACCGAGCCTTAATGCACAGACCGAGCCTTAATGTACAGACCGAGCCTTAATGCACAGACCGAGCCTTAATGTACAGACCGAGCCTTAATGCACAGACCGAGCCTTAATGCACAGACCGAGCCTTAATGCACAGACCGAGCCTTAATGTACAGACCGAGCCTTAATGTACAGACCGAGCCTTAATGTACAGACCGAGCCTTAATGCACAGACCGAGCCTTAATGTACAGACCGAGCCTTAATGTACAGACCGAGCCTTAATGTACAGACCGAGCCTTAATGTACAGACCGAGCCTTAATGCACAGACCGAGCCTTAATGCACAGACCGAGCCTTAATGCACAGACCGAGCCTTAATGCACAGACCGAGCCTTAATGCACAGACCGAGCCTTAATGCACAGACCGAGCCTTAATGCACAGACCGAGCCTTAATGCACAGACCGAGCCTTAATGACAGACCGAGCCTTAATGCACAGACCGAGCCTTAATGCACAGACCGAGCCTTAATGTACAGACCGAGCCTTAATGCACAGACCGAGCCTTAATGCACAGACCGAGCCTTAATGCACAGACCGAGCCTTAATGTACAGACCGAGCCTTAATGTACAGACCGAGCCTTAATGTACAGACCGAGCCTTAATGCACAGACCGAGCCTTAATGTACAGACCGAGCCTTAATGCACAGACCGAGCCTTAATGTACAGACCGAGCCTTAATGCACAGACCGAGCCTTAATGTACAGACCGAGCCTTAATGTACAGACCGAGCCTTAATGTACAGACCGACCGAGCCTTAATGCACAGACCGAGCCTTAATGCACAGACCGAGCCTTAATGTACAGACCGAGCCTTAATGTACAGACCGAGCCTTAATGCACAGACCGAGCCTTAATGCACAGACCGAGCCTTAATGTACAGACCGAGCCTTAATGTACAGACCGAGCCTTAATGTACAGACCGAGCCTTAATGCACAGACCGAGCCTTAATGCACAGACCGAGCCTTAATGTACAGACCGAGCCTTAATGTACAGACGAGCCTTAATGCACAGACCGAGCCTTAATGCACAGACCGAGCCTTAATGTACAGACCGAGCCTTAATGTACAGACCGAGCCTTAATGTACAGACCGAGCCTTAATGTACAGACCGAGCCTTAATGCACAGACCGAGCCTTAATGTACAGACCGAGCCTTAATGCACAGACCGAGCCTTAATGCACAGACCGAGCCTTAATGTACAGACCGAGCCTTATTAATACAGACCGAGCCTTAATGCACAGACCGAGCCTTAATGTACAGACCGAGCCTTAATGCACAGACCGAGCCTTAATGCACAGACCGAGCCTTAATGTACAGACCGAGCCTTAATGTACAGACCGAGCCTTAATGTACAGACCGAGCCTTAATGCACAGACCGAGCCTTAATGTACAGACCGAGCCTTAATGCACAGACCGAGCCTTAATGTACAGACCGAGCCTTAATGTACAGACCGAGCCTTAATGTACAGACCGAGCCTTAATGTACAGACCGAGCCTTAATGCACAGACCGAGCCTTAATGCACAGACCGAGCCTTAATGCACAGACCGAGCCTTAATGTACAGACCGAGCCTTAATGCACAGACCGAGCCTTAATGTACAGACGAGCCTTAATGTACAGACCGAGCCTTAATGTACAGACCGAGCCTTAATGCACAGACCGAGCCTTAATGCACAGACCGAGCCTTAATGCACAGACCGAGCCTTAATGCACAGACCGAGCCTTAATGTACAGACCGAGCCTTAATGTACAGACCGAGCCTTAATGTACAGACCGAGCCTTAATGCACAGACCGAGCCTTAATGTACAGACCGAGCCTTAATGTACAGACCGAGCCTTAATGCACAGACCGAGCCTTAATGTACAGACGAGCCTTAATGTACAGACCGAGCCTTAATGCACAGACCGAGCCTTAATGCACAGACCGAGCCTTAATGCACAGACCGAGCCTTAATGCACAGACCGAGCCTTAATGCACAGACCGAGCCTTAATGTACAGACCGAGCCTTAATGTACAGACCGAGCCTTAATGTACAGACCGAGCCTTAATGTACAGACCGAGCCTTAATGTACAGACCGAGCCTTACTGCACAGACCGAGCCTTAATGTACAGACCGAGCCTTAATGTACAGACCGAGCCTTAATGCACAGACCGAGCCTTAATGTACAGACAGAGCCTTAATTTACAGACCGAGCCTTAATGTACAGACAGAGCCTTAATGTACAGACCGAGCCTTAATGTACAGACAGAGCCTTAATGTACAGACCGAGCCTTAATGTACAGACCGAGCCTTAATGCACAGACCGAGCCTTAATGCACAGACCGAGCCTTAATGCACAGACCGAGCCTTAATGTACAGACCGAGCCTTAATGCACAGACCGAGCCTTAATGTACAGACCGAGCCTTAATGCACAGACCGAGCCTTAATGTACAGACCGAGCCTTAATGTACAGACAGAGCCTTAATGTACAGACCGAGCCTTAATGTACAGACCGAGCCTTAATGCACAGACCGAGCCTTAATGCACAGACCGAGCCTTAATGTACAGACAGAGCCTTAATGTACAGACCGAGCCTTACTGCACAGACCGAGCCTTAATGTACAGACCGAGCCTTAATGTACAGACCGAGCCTTAATGCACAGACCGAGCCTTAATGTACAGACCGAGCCTTAATGTACAGACCGAGCCTTAATGTACAGACTGAGCCTTAATGCACAGACCGAGCCTTAATGCACAGACCGAGCCTTAATGCACAGACCGAGCCTTAATGTACAGACCGAGCCTTAATGCACAGACCGAGCCTTAATGCACAGACCGAGCCTTAATGCACAGACCGAGCCTTAATGTACAGACTGAGCCTTAATGTACAGACCGAGCCTTAATGCACAGACCGAGCCTTAATGCACAGACCGAGCCTTAATGCACAGACCGAGCCTTAATGCACAGACCGAGCCTTAATGCACAGACCGAGCCTTAATGTACAGACCGAGCCTTAATGCACAGACCGAGCCTTAATGTACAGACTGAGCCTTAATGCACAGACCGAGCCTTAATGCACAGACCGAGCCTTAATGCTCAGACCGAGCCTTAATGCACAGACCGAGCCTTAATGTACAGACCGAGCCTTAATGCACAGACCGAGCCTTAATGCACAGACCGAGCCTTAATGTACAGACCGAGCCTTAATGCACAGACCGAGCCTTAATGCACAGACCGAGCCTTAATGTACAGACCGAGCCTTAATGTACAGACCGAGCCTTAATGCACAGACCGAGCCTTAATGCACAGACCGAGCCTTAATGTACAGACCGAGCCTTAATGCACAGACCGAGCCTTAATGTACAGACCGAGCCTTAATGTACAGACTGAGCCTTAATGCACAGACCGAGCCTTAATGTACAGACCGAGCCTTAATGCACAGACTGAGCCTTAATGCACAGACCGAGCCTTAATGTACAGACCGAGCCTTAATGTACAGACCGAGCCTTAATGCTCAGACCGAGCCTTAATGTACAGACCGAGCCTTAATGTACAGACCGAGCCTTAATGCACAGACCGAGCCTTAATGCACAGACCGAGCCTTAATGCACAGACCGAGCCTTAATGCACAGACCGAGCCTTAATGTCAGACCGAGCCTTAATGCACAGACCGAGCCTTAATGTACAGACCGAGCCTTAATGTACAGACCGAGCCTTAATGTACAGACCGAGCCTTAATGTACAGACCGAGCCTTAATGCTACAGACCGAGCCTTAATGTACAGACCGAGCCTTAATGCACAGACCGAGCCTTAATGCACAGACCGAGCCTTAATGCACAGACCGAGCCTTAATGCACAGACCGAGCCTTAATGCACAGACCGAGCCTTAATGCACAGACCGAGCCTTAATGCACAGACCGAGCCTTAATGTACAGACCGAGCCTTAACGTACAGACCGAGCCTTAATGCACAGACCGAGCCTTAATGTACAGACCGAGCCTTAATGTACAGACCGAGCCTTAATGCACAGACCGAGCCTTAATGTACAGACCGAGCCTTAATGTACAGACCGAGCCTTAATGCACAGACCGAGCCTTAATGTACAGACCGAGCCTTAATGTACAGACCGAGCCTTAATGTACAGACCGAGCCTTAATGCTCAGACCGAGCCTTAATGTACAGACCGAGCCTTAATGTACAGACCGAGCCTTAACGCACAGACCGAGCCTTAATGCACAGACCGAGCCTTAATGCACAGACCGAGCCTTAATGCACAGACCGAGCCTTAATGTACAGACCGAGCCTTAATGTACAGACCGAGCCTTAATGTACAGACCGAGCCTTAATGCTCAGACCGAGCCTTAATGTACAGACCGAGCCTTAATGCACAGACCGAGCCTTAATGCACAGACCGAGCCTTAATGCACAGACCGAGCCTTAATGTACAGACCGAGCCTTAATGCACAGACCGAGCCTTAATGCACAGACCGAGCCTTAATGCACAGACCGAGCCTTAATGCACAGACCGAGCCTTAATGCACAGACCGAGCCTTAATGCACAGACCGAGCCTTAATGCACAGACCGAGCCTTAATGCACAGACCGAGCCTTAATGCACAGACCGAGCCTTAATGCACAGACCGAGCCTTAATGCACAGACCGAGCCTTAATGTACAGACCGAGCCTTAATGTACAGACCGAGCCTTAATGCACAGACCGAGCCTTAATGCACAGACTGAGCCTTAATGTACAGACCGAGCCTTAACGTACAGACCGAGCCTTAATGCACAGACCGAGCCTTAATGCACAGACCGAGCCTTAATGCACAGACCGAGCCTTAATGCACAGACCGAGCCTTAATGCACAGACTGAGCCTTAATGTACAGACCGAGCCTTAACGTACAGACCGAGCCTTAATGTACAGACCGAGCCTTAATGCACAGACCGAGCCTTAATGTACAGACCGAGCCTTAATGTACAGACCGAGCCTTAATGTACAGACAGAGCCTTAATGTACAGACCGAGCCTTAATGCACAGACCGAGCCTTAATGCACAGACCGAGCCTTAATGCACAGACCGAGCCTTAATGTACAGACCGAGCCTTAATGCACAGACCGAGCCTTAATGTACAGACTGAGCCTTAATGTACAGACCGAGCCTTAATGCACAGACCGAGCCTTAATGTACAGACCGAGCCTTAATGTACAGACCGAGCCTTAATGTACAGACAGAGCCTTAATGCACAGACCGAGCCTTATAGCGAGGTTAATAAATGTTTTATTATATGACTATTTTTAATTTATGCAAATATCGATCTCCAACTTGGTTTTCCTAATCGTGTTTTTAGCTTTCTGGTCTGCAACGAAGTTGTCAATCTCATCTTGTCTGTTAGTTATTTTTCCTTCGGCTCGTCAAACTCGTCAAACTCATCAAACTCGTCAGACTCGTCCGATAATAGAATTCACTGAGAATGCTCCCAGTTGTCGCCCATTATTTCTTTTTTACCGAGGAAACTCAGGAAAGAAATCAATTGTGATACGCGCTGCGGACTGATTGTCATGGTAACGGTCTGAGATGGGAAAATATCAGACCGGTAATCAGCCAATCAGAGCGCGCGTACGGTCCAAGTCATATAATAATTAAGATAAATCAATAACACAAAAATAGTTTATAAAATAATTCATCCACACATATCGAACATCTGCGTTTCCAATCACACTCATAACATTCAAACATGTGCGTCTCTGACATCGCAGAAGTGGGCGGAGCTTTGATACTGACGCAGCAGAAGACTCATCCAGGTTCATTGTACCGTCTGACAGCAGAAGGCACAAAGGATCTCTTGAAACGTTCCATTCGGCAGTGTAGTGATAGGAGCCTGTTGCTTCGATTAGTCTAGTCCAGTCTGTGGACCAGGTGGACTCCCTGTCCAGTCTGTGGTCCAGGTGGACTCCCAGTCCAATCTGTGGTCCAGGTGGACTCCCAGTCCAGTCTGTGGTCCAGGTGGACTCCCAGTCCAGTCTGGGGTCCAGGTGGACTCCCAGTCCAATCTGTGGTCCAGGTGGACTCCCAGTCCAATCTGTGGTCCAGGTGGACTCCCAGTCCAGTCTGTGGTCCAGGTGGACTCCCAGTCCAGTCTGTGGTCCAAGTGGACTCCCAGTCCAGTCTGTGGTCCAGGTGGACTCCCAGTCCAGTTTGTGGTCCAGGTGGACTCCCAGTCCAATCTGTGGTCCAGGTGGACTCCCAGTCCAGTCTGTGGTCCAGGTGGACTCCCAGTCCAGTCTGTGGTCCAAGTGGACTCCCAGTCCAGTCTGTGGTCCAGGTGGACTCCCAGTCCAGTCTGTGGTCCAAGTGGACTCCCAGTCCAGTCTGTGGTCCAGGTGGACTCCCAGTCCAGTCTGTGGTCCAGGTGGACTCCCAGTCTAGTCTGTTAGGTGCTGTTATGTCTTGTAGGACAATCTACATATCGTGTAAAGCACCCAGGTGCTTCAGAATGCTGCAACTGAGTTTTAGCGACTGCCTCCTCAGCGCGAGGAGGAATGTAAACGATAATGGCGGCGATGATGATGGTGTAATGTAACTACATGTAGACAGAGAGTAACTATATGTAACTAAATGTAACTGAGTAACTGTGTTTGATGCCAGGCTCTGCTGCAGTCCAATTCCTCCTTCAGTGAGGAGCTCATGAGGAGGTCACTCCTGTTTGTGGAACCAGTGGATCCAGTGTTCTGGTGCGGAGCCCTGAAGAAGTGTGAGGGACGCATCCTGCCCTGTCTCAGAGTGAGTACCATCAACTACCAGAGAGAGACCAGAGAGAGAGACCAGAGAGAGACTAGAGAGAGACCAGAGAGAGACTAGAGAGAGACCAGATAGACCAGAGAGAGAGACCAGAGAGAGAGACCAGAGAGAGAGACCAGAGAGAGAGACCAGAGAGAGACTAGAGAGAGACTAGAGAGAGACCAGAGAGAGAGACCAGAGAGAGACTAGAGAGAGACTAGAGAGAGACCAGAGAGAGAGACCAGAGAGAGACCAGAGAGAGAGACCAGAGAGAGACTAGAGAGAGACCAGAGAGAGAGACCAGAGAGAGACTAGAGAGAGACCAGAGAGAGACCAGAGAGAGACCAGAGAGAGAGACCAGAGAGAGACTAGAGAGAGATACCAGAGAGAGAGACCAGAGAGAGACCAGAGAGAGACTAGAGAGAGACCAGAGAAAGAGACCAGAGAGAAACTAGAGAGAGAACCAGAGAGAGACCAGAGAAAGAGACCAGAGAGACCAGAGAGAGACCAGAGAGAGACCAGAGAAAGAGACCAGAGAGACCAGAGAGAGACCAGAGAGAGACCAGAGAGAGACCAGAGAGAGACCAGAGAGACCAGAGAGACCAGAGAGAGACCAGAGAGAGACCAGAGAGAGACCAGAGAGACCAGAGAGAGACCAGAGAGAGAGACCAGAGAGAGACCAGAGAGAGACACCAGAGAGACCAGAGAGAGACCAGAGAGAGAGACCAGAGAGAGACCAGAGAAAGAGACCAGAGAGACCAGAGAGAGACCAGAGAGAGACCAGAGAGAGAGACCAGAGAGAGACCAGAGAGAGACTAGAGAGAGACCAGAGAAAGAGACCAGAGAGAAACTAGAGAGAGACCAGAGAGAGACCAGAGAAAGAGACCAGAGAGACCAGAGAGAGACCAGAGAGAGACCAGAGAAAGAGACCAGAGAGACCAGAGAGAGACCAGAGAGAGACCAGAGAGAGACCAGAGAGAGACCAGAGAGACCAGAGAGACCAGAGAGAGACCAGAGAGAGACCAGAGAAAGAGACCAGAGAGACCAGAGAGAGACCAGAGAGAGAGACCAGAGAGAGACCAGAGAGAGACACCAGAGAGACCAGAGAGAGACCAGAGAGAGAGACCAGAGAGAGACCAGAGAAAGAGACCAGAGAGACCAGAGAGAGACCAGAGAGAGACCAGAGAGAGAGACCAGAGAGAGACCAGAGAGAGAGACCAGAGAGACCAGAGAGAGACCAGAGAAAGAGACCAGAAAGACAGACCAGAGACTACTTTGTAAAACGTGACAGAGACCATGTGACGTTTGTCCGTTGTTACTTAAGTGTGTGATGTTGCAGAACCACCTGATGATCCTGGGGCTGCTGGTGTTCGAGGCCACCGTCCATCGCCATCAGCTGTACTTCCGTCTCCATAACAACCTCAAAGCTCCGCCCTTCTCCATCCTGTTCCAGGGCATCACCCGACAGCACCTGGACCTGGGCCTGGTCCCCTGCATCCAGTACTTCATCAACTTCTTCTACTACAAGTTTGGACTCGAGGTTTGACATCATCAATAACATTATTTATTCAAACCCTGATAATTTTATAGAAGAAAAAAACCCAGAATAAGAGTCTTGGATGAAGCAGGCTCCACCTCTGACCTCTGACTCCACCTCTGACTCCACCTCTGACCTCTGACTCCATCTCTGGCATCTGACTCCACCTCTGACTCCATCTCTGACCTCTGACTCCATCTCTGACCTCTGACTCCATCTCTGACCTCTGACTCCACCTCTGACCTCTGACTCCATCTCTGACCTCTGACTCCACCTCTGACCTCTGACTCCACCTCTGACCTCTGACTCCATCTCTGACCTCTGACTCCACCTCTGACCTCTGACTCCACCTCTGACCTCTGACTCCATCTCTGACCTCTGACTCCATCTCTGACCTCTGACTCCACCTCTGACCTCTGACTCCACCTCTGACCTCTGACTCCATCTCTGACCTCTGACTCCACCTCTGACCTCTGACTTCACCTCTGACTCCATCTCTGATCTCTGACTCCACCTCTGACCTCTGACTCCACCTCTGACCTCTGACTCCATCTCTGACTCCACCTCTGACCTCTGACTCCATCTCTGACCTCTGACTCCACCTCTGACCTCAGACTCCATCGCTGACCTCTGACTCCACCTCTGACCTCTGACTCCACCTCTGACCTCTGGCTCCACCTCTGACCTCTGACTACACCTCTGACCTCTGACTACACCTCTGACCTCTGGCTCCACCTGTGACCTCTGACTCCACCTCTGACCTCTGACTCCACCTCTGACTACACCTCTGATCTCTGACTACACCTCTGACCTCTGACTACACCTCAACATCTTGCTCCTCCTCTCACCTCTGGCTCCACCTCTGACCTCTGGCCCCTCCTCTGACATCTGGATCCTCCTCTGACCTCTGACTCGACCTCTAACTACACCTCTGACTCCACCTCTGACCTCTGACTCCATCTCTGACTCCACCTCTGACCTCTGACTCCATCTCTGACCTCTGACTCCACCTCTGACCTCAGACTCCATCGCTGACCTCTGACTCCACCTCTGACCTCTGACTCCACCTCTGACCTCTGGCTCCACCTCTGACCTCTGACTCCACCTCTGACTTCTGGCTCCACCTCTGACCTCTGGCTCCACCTGTGACCTCTGACTCCACCTCTGACCTCTGACTCCACCTCTGACTACACCTCTGACCTCTGACTACACCTCTGACCTCTGACTACACCTCAACATCTTGCTCCTCCTCTCACCTCTGGCTCCACCTCTGACCTCTGGCCCCTCCTCTGACATCTGGATCCTCCTCTGACCTCTGACTCGACCTCTAACTACACCTCTGACTCCACCTCTGACCTCTGGCTCCTCCTCTGACCTCTGACTCCACCTCTGACCTCTGGATCCTCCTCTGACCTCTGGCTCTACCTCTGACCTCTGGATCCTCCTCTGACCTCTGACTCCACCTCTGACCTCTGGCTCCTCTTCTGACCTCTGGCTCCACCTCTGACCTCTGGCTCCACCTCTGACCTCTGGATCGTCCTCTGACCTCTGACTCCACCTCTGACCTCTGGCTCCTCCTCTGACCTCTGGATCCTCCTCTGACCTCTGACTCGACCTCTGACTACACCTCTGACCTATGGCTCCACCTCTGACCTCTGACTCCACCTCTGACCTCTGACTCCATCTCTGACCTCTGACTCCATCTCTGACCTCTGACTCCACCTCTGACCTCTGACTCCACCTCTGACCTCTGACTCCATCTCTGACCTCTGACTCCACCTCTGACCTCTGACTTCACCTCTGACTCCATCTCTGATCTCTGACTCCACCCTGACCTGACCTCTGACTCCACCTCTGACCTCTGACTCCATCTCTGACTCCACCTCTGACCTCTGACTCCATCTCTGACCTCTGACTCCACCTCTGACCTCAGACTCCATCGCTGACCTCTGACTCCACCTCTGACCTCTGACTCCACCTCTGACCTCTGGCTCCACCTCTGACCTCTGACTACACCTCTGACCTCTGACTACACCTCTGACCTCTGGCTCCACCTGTGACCTCTGACTCCACCTCTGACCTCTGACTCCACCTCTGACTACACCTCTGATCTCTGACTACACCTCTGACCTCTGACTACACCTCAACATCTTGCTCCTCCTCTCACCTCTGGCTCCACCTCTGACCTCTGGCCCCTCCTCTGACATCTGGATCCTCCTCTGACCTCTGACTCGACCTCTAACTACACCTCTGACTCCACCTCTGACCTCTGACTCCATCTCTGACTCCACCTCTGACCTCTGACTCCATCTCTGACCTCTGACTCCACCTCTGACCTCAGACTCCATCGCTGACCTCTGACTCCACCTCTGACCTCTGACTCCACCTCTGACCTCTGGCTCCACCTCTGACCTCTGACTCCACCTCTGACTTCTGGCTCCACCTCTGACCTCTGGCTCCACCTGTGACCTCTGACTCCACCTCTGACCTCTGACTCCACCTCTGACTACACCTCTGACCTCTGACTACACCTCTGACCTCTGACTACACCTCAACATCTTGCTCCTCCTCTCACCTCTGGCTCCACCTCTGACCTCTGGCCCCTCCTCTGACATCTGGATCCTCCTCTGACCTCTGAATCGACCTCTAACTACACCTCTGACTCCACCTCTGACCTCTGGCTCCTCCTCTGACCTCTGACTCCACCTCTGACCTCTGGATCCTCCTCTGACCTCTGGCTCTACCTCTGACCTCTGGATCCTCCTCTGACCTCTGACTCCACCTCTGACCTCTGGCTCCTCTTCTGACCTCTGGCTCCACCTCTGACCTCTGGCTCCACCTCTGACCTCTGGATCGTCCTCTGACTCCACCTCTGACCTCTGGCTCCTCCTCTGACCTCTGGATCCTCCTCTGACCTCTGACTCGACCTCTGACTACACCTCTGACCTATGGCTCCACCTCTGACCTCTGGCTCCACCTCTGACCTCTGGTTCTACCTCTGACCTCTGGCTCCACCTCTGACCTCTGACTACACCTCTGACTACACCTCTGACCTCTGGCTCCTCCTCTGACCTCTGACTCCTTCTCTGACCTTTGGCTCCACCTCTGGCCTCTGGCTCCACCTCTGACCTCTGGCTCCTCCTCTGACCTCTGTCTCCTCCTCTGACCTCTGGATCTACCTCTGACCTCTGGCTCCTCCTCTAACCTCTGGCTCCACATCTGACCTCTGACTACACCTCTGACGTCTGGCTCCTTCTCTGACCTCTGGCTCTACCTCTGACCTCTGGATCCTCCTCTGACCTCTGACTCCACCTCCGACCTCTGGCTCCTCCTCTGACCTCTGGATCCTCCTCTGACCTCTGGCTCTACCTCTGACCTCTGGATCCTCCTCTGACCTCTGACTCCACCTCTGACCTCTGGCTCCTCCTCTGACCTCTTGATCCTCCTCTGACCTCTGACTCCACCTCTGACCTTGGGCTCCTCCTCTGACCTCTGGCTCCTCCTCTGACCTCTGACCTCTGGCTTCTCCCTCTCTCCTCGACCCTAGTCTTGCCAGACCCTTGTAGTTCCGCCATGCTCCACCAGAGCCTTATGACATTTATCCACTATGAAGGAGACCCAGACCCTGTGATTTCTGTGTAGCCCACGTGAATTTAGTCTGGTTTAGTCTGGTTTAGTCGGGTTTAGTGCAGTACTGTGAGAATCCCCCGAGCACATGGTTCTTCAGCTCCAAGCTGTAATACGCAGTTATTATAATAGATCCATGGTAATACTCTATCCAGTTATTATAATAAATCCATGGTCTGACCAGAGTCAGGCTACCTCGACCCCCCCACAGTGTATGGTATCAGGGTCACCTGGTATCATTTAGAGACCAGAACATATAGCTGGTACCTCTGTGGCACCTGTGTCTCTCCTGGTGTCTGCAGGTGAGTTGGATGGTGCTGTGTCTCTCATGGTGTCTGCAGGTGAGTTGGATGGTGCTGTGTCTCTCCTGGTGTCTGCAGGTGAGTTGGATGGTGCTGTGTCTCTCCTGGTGTCTGCAGGTGAGTTTGATGGTACTGTGTCTCTCCTGGTGTCTGCAGGTGAGTTGGATGGTGCTGTGTCTCTCCTGGTGTCTGCAGGTGAGTTGGATGGTGCTGTGTCTCTCCTGGTGTCTGCAGTTGAGTTTGATGGTACTGTGTCTCTCCTGGTGTCTGCAGGTGAGTTCGATGGTGCTGTGTCTCTCCTGGTCAGTGTTGGGTAAGTTACTTTGAAAAAGTAATTAGTTATAGTTACTAGTTACTTCTCTCAAAACGTAATTGAGTTACTACACTATAAAAGTAACTAGTTAATTTATTAGTATTATACTGTGTGTTAGTATTATATGTTAGTATTAGTATTATACTGTGTGTTAGTATTAGTATTAGTATTATATGTTAGTATTAGTATTATACTGTGTGTTAGTATTAGTATTAGTATTATATGTTAGTATTAGTATTAGCATCATATGTTAGTACAGGGAACTGTCCTGCAGCACACAGGTAATAATAAGACAGGCCAAGGTTTCATTTAAATTACATTGCATTTATTTTTATCCATTGATTAAAGAAAACACGCAGTCACGCATGCAGACACGCATGCAGGCAGTCACGCAGGCATTCAGGCACGCAGGCAGTCACGCACGCAGTCACGCATGCAGACACGCATGCAGGCAGTCACGCAGGCATTCAGGCACGCAGGCAGTCACGCACGCAGTCACGCATGCAGTCACGCACAGCAGGCAGTCACGCAGGCAGTCACGCACGCAGGCAAGCACGCACGCAGGTACGCACGCACGCAGTTACGTATGCAGGCAGTCACGCAGGCAGTCACGCAGGCAGACACACATGCAGGCAGTCACGCAGGCAGTCACGCAGGCAGTCACGCAGGCAGACACACAAGCAGGCAGTCACGCAGGCAGTCACGCAGGCAGTCACGCAAGCAGGCAGGCACGCCCGCAGGCAGGCACGCCCGCAGGCAGTCACGCATGCAGGCAGTCACGCATGCAGGCAGTTACGCACGCAGGCAGTCACGCAGGCAGTCACGCAGGCAGTCACGCAGGCAGTCACGCACGCACGCACGCAGGCAGTCACGCAGGCAGTCACGCAGGCAGTCACGCATGCAGGCAGTCACGCAGGCAGACACGCAGGCAGACACGCATGCAGGCAGTCACGCACGCAGTCACGCGCGCAGGCACGCACGCAGGCAGGCACGCACGCAGGCAGTCACGCAGGCAGTCACGCACGCAGGCAGTCACGCAGGCAGGCACGCACGCAGGCAGGCACGCATGCAGGCAGTCACGCACGCAGGCAGGCACGCACGCAGGCACGCACGCACGCAGGCAGGCACGCACGCAGGCAGTCACGCAGGCAGTCACGCATGCAGGCAGTCACGCATGCAGGCAGTCACGCAGGCACGCAGGCAGTCACGCAGGCACGCAGGCAGTCACGCAGGCAGTCACGCATGCAGGCAGTCACGCATGCAGGCAGTCACGCAGGCACGCAGGCAGTCACGCAGGCACGCAGGCAGTCACGCAGGCAGTCACGCAGGCAGTCACGCATGCAGGCAGTCACGCATGCAGGCAGTCACGCAGGCACGCAGGCAGTCACGCACGCAGGCAGTCACGCATGCAGGCAGTCACGCATGCAGGCAGTCACGCAGGCAGTCACGCATGCAGGCAGTCACGCACGCAGGCAGTCACGCACGCAGGCAGTCACGCATGCAGGCAGTCACGCAGGCAGACACGCATGCAGGCAGTCACGCACGCAGTCACGCGCGCAGGCACGCACGCAGGCAGTCACGCACGCAGTCACGCACGCAGGCAGGCACGCACGCAGGCACGCAGGCAGTCACGCATGCAGGCAGTCACGCAGGCAGTCACACAGGCAGTCACGCAGGCAGTCACGCATGCAGGCAGTCACGCATGCAGGCAGTCACGCAGGCAGTCACGCACGCAGGCACGCACGCAGGCAGTCACGCACGCAGTCACGCAGGCAGGCAGTCACGCATGCAGGCAGTCACGCAGGCAGTCACGCACGCAGGCAGTCACGCACGCAGGCAGTCACGCACGCAGGCAGTCACGCACGCAGTCACGCACGCAGGCAGTCACGCAGGCAGTCACGCAGGCAGTCACACAGGCAGTCACGCAGGCAGTCACGCAGGCAGGCAGTCACGCAGGCAGTCACACAGGCAGTCACGCAGGCAGTCATGCAGGCAGTCACGCATGCAGGCAGTCACGCACGCAGGCAGTCACGCACGCAGGCAGTCACGCAGGCAGTCACGCAGGCAGTCACACAGGCAGTCACGCAGGCAGTCACGCAGGCAGTCACGCATGCAGGCAGTCACGCAGGCAGTCACGCAGGCAGTCACGCACGCAGGCAGTCACGCACGCAGTCACGCAGGCAGTCACGCAGGCAGTCACGCACGCGGGCAGTCACGCAGGCAGTCACACAGGCAGTCACGCAGGCAGTCACGCATGCAGGCAGTCACGCATGCAGGCAGTCACGCATGCAGGCAGTCACGCACGCAGGCAGTCAGTTTTCTCGGCACAACTCGGCAGAACACCGGTGCCACCGTTAACAAAGTGTTTAAGTAGTAACTGTAATATAATTAAACGTATTTTCATAATAACACGTTACACTACTACGTTACTCAAATTGTAATTTTGTTACAGTAACGCGTTACACCCAACACTGCTCCTAGTGAGGTGAGTTTGATGGTACTGTGTCTCTCCTGGTGTCTGCAGGTGAGTTGGATGGTGCTGTGTCTCTCCTGGTGTCTGCAGGTGAGCTTGATGGTACTGTCTCTTCTGGTGTCTGCAGGTGAGCTTGATGGTAGCGGTGAATGTGATTGGTCAAAGGATGGACTTCTTCGCCCTGCTGCACTCCTGTGCTCTGTTGCTGGTCCTGTCCCGGAGGAGGAGGAAGTCCATCGGGGAAGTGTGGCCCAAGTACTGCTGGTTCACCGCGGGACTCATGGTCCTGCAGTACCTGCTCTGCATCGGCATCCCCCCCGCTCTGTGCACTGGTATGTACCTGTGTGTGCTGGTATGTACCTGTGTGAGCTGTTATGTACCTGTGTGTGCTGGTATGTACCTGTGAGCTGGTATGTACCTGTGTGTGCTGGTATGTACCTGTGAGCTGGTATGTACCTGTGTGTGCTGGTATGTACCTGTGAGCTGGTATGTACCTGTGTGTGCTGGTATGTACCTGTGAGCTGGTATGTACCTGTGTGTGCTGGTATGTACCTGTGAGCTGGTATGTACCTGTGTGAGCTGGTATGTACCTGTGTGAGCTGGTATGTACCTGTGTGAGCTGGTATGTACCTGTGTGTGCTGGTATGTACCTGTGAGCTGGTATGTACCTGTGTGAGCTGGTATGTACCTGTGAGCTGGTATGTACCTGTGTGAGCTGGTATGTACCTGTGTGAGCTGGTATGTACCTGTGTGTGCTGGTATGTACCTGTGAGCTGGTATGTACCTGTGTGTGCTGGTATGTACCTGTGTGTGCTGGTATGTACCTGTGTGTGCTGGTATGTACCTGTGAGCTGGTATGTACCTGTGTGTGCTGGTATGTACCTGTGTGTGCTGGTATGTACCTGTGTGTGCTGGTATGTACCTGTGTGAGCTGGTATGTACCTGTGTGAGCTGGTATGTACCTGTGTGAGCTGGTATGTACCTGTGTGTGCTGGTATGTACCTGTGTGTGCTGGTATGTACCTGTGTGTGCTGGTATGTACCTGTGAGCTGGTATGTACCTGTGTGAGCTGGTATGTACCTGTGTGTGCTGGTATGTACCTGTGTGTGCTGGTATGTACCTGTGTGTGCTGGTATGTACCTGTGTGTGCTGGTATGTACCTGTGTGTGCTGGTATGTACCTGTGTGTGCTGGTATGTACCTGTGAGCTGGTATGTACCTGTGTGAGCTGGTATGTACCTGTGTCTCTTCATGTTGTGTGTCTCAGTGTGTGTGTCTGTTCATGTTGTGTGTCCCTTCATTTTGTGTGTCTCTTCATGTTGTGTGTCTCTTCATGTTGTGTGTCCCTTCCTGATGTGTGTCTCTTCATGTTGTGTGTTTCAGTGTGTGTCTCAGTGTGTGTCTGTTCATGTTGTGTGTCTGTTCATGTTGTGTGTCTGTTCATGTTGTGTGTCTCTTCATGTTGTGTGTCTGTTCGTGTTCTGTGTCTGTTCATGTTGTGTGTCCCTTCATGTTGTGAGTTTCAGTGTGTGTCCCTTCATGTTGTGTGTCTCAGTGTGTGTGTCTGTTCATGTTGTGTGTCCCTTTATGTTGTGTGTCCCTTCATGTTGTGTGTCTCAGTGTGTGTCTGTTCATGTTGTGTGTCTGTTCATGTTGTGTGTCTCTTCATGTTGTGTGTCTGTTCATGTTCTGTGTCTGTTCATGTTGTGTGTCTGTTCATGTTGTGTGTCCCTTCATGTTGTGAGTTTCAGTGTGTGTCCCTTCATGTTGTGTGTCTGTTCATGTTGTGTGTCTCAGTGTGTGTGTCTGTTCATGTTGTGTGTCCCTTCATGTTGTGTGTCTCTTCATGTTGTGTGTCTCTTCATGTTGTGTGTCCCTTCCTGATGTGTGTCTCTTCATGCTGTGTGTCTTTTCATGTTGTGTGTTTCAGTGTGTGTCCCTTTATGTTGTGTGTCTCAGTGTGTGTCTGTTCATGTTGTGTGTCTGTTCATGTTGTGTGTCTCTTCATGTTGTGTGTCTGTTCATGTTGTGTGTCCCTTCATGTTGTGTGTCTGTTCATGTTGTGTGTCTCAGTGTGTGTGTCTGTTCATGTTGTGTGTCTGTTCATGTTGTGTGTCTCTTCATGTTGTGTGTCTCTTCATGTTGTGTGTCCCTTCCTGATATGTGTCTCTTCATGTTGTGTGTTTCAGTGTGTGTCCCTTCATGTTGTGTGTCTCAGTGTGTGTCTGTTCATGTCGTGTGTCTGTTCATGTTGTGTGTCTGTTCATGTTGTGTGTCTCTTCATGTTTGTATGTCTCTTCATGTTGTGTGTCCCTTCATGTTTGTGTGTCTCTTCATGTTGTGAGTTTCAGTGTGTGTCCCTTCATGTTGTGTGTCTGTTCATGTTGTGTGTCTCAGTGTGTGTGTCTGTTCACGTTGTGTGTCCCTTCATGTTGTGTGTCTCTTCATGTTGTGTGTCTCTTCATGTTGTGTGTCTCAGTGTGTGTGTCTGTTCACGTTGTGTGTCCCTTCATGTTGTGTGTCTCTTCATGTTGTGTGTCTCTTCATGTTGTGTGTCCCTTCCTGATGTGTGTCTCTTCATGTTGTGTGTCTTTTCATGTTGTGTGTTTCAGTGTGTGTCCCTTTATGTTGTGTGTCCCTTCATGTTGTGTGTCTCAGTGTGTGTCTGTTCATGTTGTGTGTCTGTTCATGTTGTGTGTCTCTTCATGTTGTGTGTCCCTTCATGTTGTGTGTCTGTTCATGTTGTGTGTCTCAGTGTGTGTGTCTGTTCATGTTGTGTGTCCCTTCATGTTGTGTGTCTCTTCATGTTGTGTGTCTCTTCATGTTGTGTGACCCTTCCTAATGTGTGTCTCTTCATGTTGTGTGTCTCTTCATGTTGTGTGTTTCAGTGTGTGTCCCTTCATGTTGTGTGTCTCAGTGTGTGTCTGTTCATGTCGTGTGTCTGTTCATGTTGTGTGTCTGTTCATGTTGTGTGTCTCTTCATGTTGTGTGTCTCTTCATGTTGTGTGTCCCTTCATGTTGTGTGTCTCTTCATGTTGTGTGTCTCTTCATGTTTGTATGTCTCTTCATGTTGTGTGTCCCTTCATGTTTGTGTGTCTCTTCATGTTGTGTGTCTGTTCATGTTGTGTGTCCCTTCATGTTGTGTGTTTCAGTGTGTGTCCCTTCATGTTGTGTGTCTCAGTGTGTGTCTGTTCATGTTGTGTGTCTGTTCATGTTGTGTGTCTCTTCAGGTTGTGTGTCTGTTCATGTTGTGTGTCCCTTCATGTTGTGTGTCTCTTCATGTTTGTGTGTCTCTTCATGTTTTGTGTCTGGTCATGTTGTGTGTCCCTTCATGTTGTGTGTCCCTTCATGTTGTGTGTCCCTTCATGTTGTGTGTCTGTTCATGTTGTGTGTCCCTTCATGTTGTGTGTCTCTTCATGTGGTGTGTCTCAGTGTGTGTGTCTTCATGTTGTGTGTCTCTTCATGTTTATGTGTCTCTTCATGTTGTGTGTCTCTTCATGTTGTGTGTCCCTTCATGTTGTGTGTCCCTTCATGTTTGTGAGTCTCTTCATGTTGTGTGTCCCTTCATGTTGTGTGTCTGTTCATGTTGTGTGTCTTCATGTTGTGTGTCCTTTCATGTTGTGTGTCTGTTTCCTGTTGTGTGTCTTCATGTTGTGTGTCTGTTCATGTTGTGTGTCCCTTCATGTTGTGTGTCTGTTCATGTTGTGTGTCTCTTCATGTTGTGTGTCCCTTCATGTTGTGTGTCCCTTCATGTTTGTGAGTTTCTTCATGTTGTGTGTCCCTTCATGTTGTGTGTCTGTTCATGTTGTGTGTCTTCATGTTGTGTGTCCTTTCATGTTGTGTGTCTGTTTCCTGTTGTGTGTCTTCATGTTGTGTGTCTGTTCATGTTGTGTGTCCCTTCATGTTGTGTGTCTGTTCATGTTGTGTGTCTCTTCATGTTGTGTGTCCCTTCATGTTGTGTGTCCCTTCATGTTTGTGAGTCTCTTCATGTTGTGTGTCCCTTCATGTTGTGTGTCTGTTCATGTTGTGTGTCTTCATGTTGTGTGTCCTTTCATGTTGTGTGTCTGTTTCCTGTTGTGTGTCTTCATGTTGTGTGTCTGTTCATGTTGTGTGTCCCTTCATGTTGTGTGTCTCTTCATGTTGTGTGTCCCTTCATGTTGTGTGTCTCTTCATGTTGTGTGTCTCTTCATGTTGTGTGTCTGTTCATGTTGTGTGTCTCAGATTACCCCTGGAGGTCTTCGTACGGACCGCTGAGCTCCAACGTCATCAAATGGTTTTTCCTCCCGGACTTCGCCATGAGACCAGACCCTCTCTTCATATTCTGTACGTACATGTAGAGACACACACCGACACACAACATGAAGAAACACACACTGAGACACACACTGAGACACACACTGAGACACACACTGAGATACACACTGAGACACGTGAGACCAGACCCTCTCTTCATATTCTGTACGTACATGTAGAGTCCTTTGCTTTTTACTTTGTACACTCATGATTGTGTGTCCTCCTCTGACTCAAACTTGATCATCAAATATGCTGATGACACCACCATCATCGGTCTCATCAGTGACACTGATGAATCCTCTTATAGAGCAGAGATACAAAATGTGGTTCAGTGGAGTCAAACTAACAACCTCCAGTTGAACGCATCCAAAACATGTGAACTGGTCACGACTTCAGTCGCAATAGTTCTCATTTGCCTGTCGTAATCGACAACTCCCAGGTGCAGATCGTAGAGGAGCAAGTTTCTGGGTCTAACTCTGTCTAACCTGAAATGGGTCAAAAACACTGAGTCGTTAAGAAAGCTCGTCAGCGTCTCTACTTTCTGCATAAACTTAGAGAATTTACCACTAACTCTAAGATTGTGCTTAACTTTTATGGCTGCACCATTGAGAGTTTACTTGTTGGTTCTGTGTCTGTGTGGTTTGGAAACATCACAGATAAAGAAAAGAGAGCTTTAAACAAGGTGCTCCGCTCTGCAAAGAGGACCGTGGGCTGTGAGACCAGAGAGAGACCAGAGAGAGACCAGAGAGAGACCAGAGAGAGACCAGAGAGAGACCAGAGAGAGACCAGAGAGAGACCAGAGCGAGACCAGAGAGAGACCAGAGAGAGACCAGAGAGAGACCAGAGCGAGACCAGAGAGAGACCAGAGAGAGAGACCAGAGAAAGACCAGAGAGAGACCAGAGAGAGACCAGAGAGAGACCAGAGAGAGACCAGAGAGAGACCAGAGCGAGACCAGAGAGAGACCAGAGAGAGACCAGAGAGAGGACCGTGGGCTGTGAGCTTCCTGTTCTGGAGGTTCTTTATAAATCCACACTTTTAAACAAAGCTCTTAGGATTGTTAATGACTCTTCTGGCCACCCTGGAAAAGCCATGTTCCAGCTTCTTCCCTCTGGCAGAAGATATCGCTCTCTGAGATGCAGGACATCTCGTTACGCTAACAGTTTTTATCCACAGGCTGTTATCAGTGTGAACAGAGCACTTTAATGATTTGCACTTGTTTGGAAACTGTTTTAGTCAATCCATTTCACAGTGACATTTGTTTACTGTCACAAATGTCACTGTGAAATCGACATTTGTTTACTTCCCTCCTGTGGGAAGGGGTACGTGGTGGCGCGGTGCTGAGAGGACTGGGCGGCAGTCGAAGGCGGAGACCTCGGCGACCCAGTCCGCACACACAACATCTGGCTCTTGGGACGTGGAACGTCACCTCACTGGGGGGGAAGGAGCCCGAGCTTGTGGGGGAGGTTGAGCGATACCGACTAGAGATAGTCGGCCTCACCTCCACACACAGCTTGGGCTCTGGAACCCAACTCCTTGAGAGGGGTTGGACGCTCCACTTTTCTGGAGTTTCCCGCGGGGAGAGGCGGCGAGCTGGGGTGGCCATACTCATTGCCCCCCATCTCAGCCGCCACGTGTTGGAGTTCTCCCCGGTGAATGAGAGGGTCGCGTCCCTCCGCCTCCGGGTGGGGGACAAGTCTCTCACTGTTGTGACGGCCTACGGGCCTAACAGCAGTGCAGAGTACCCGGCCTTCTTGGAGTCCTTGGGAGGGGTACTGGACGGTGTACCGCCCGGGGACTTCGTTATTCTCCTGGGGGACTTCAACGCCCATGTGGGAAACGCCAGTGACACTTGGAGAGGGGTGATCGGGAAGAACGGCCCTGATCTGAACCCGAGCGGGGTTCAGTTGTTGGACTTCTGTGCTAGTCACAGTTTGTCCATCACGAACACCATGGTCGAGCACAAGGGTGTCCACCAGTGCACGTGGCACCAGGACACCCTAGGCCGGAGGTCGATGATCGACTTTGTTGTCGTATCATCTGACCTTCGACCGCGTGTCTCGGACACTCGGGTAAAGAGAGGGGCGGAGCTGTCAACCGATCATCACCTGGTCGTGAGTTGGATCCGCTGGCAGGGGAAGAAGCCGGTCAGACCTGGCAGACCCAAGCGTATAGTGAGGGTCTGCTGGGAACGTCTCGCTGAGCCCCCTGTCAGACGGACTTTCAACTCACACCTCCGGGAGAGTTTCTCCCAGGTCCCGGCGGAGGAGGGGGACATGGAGTCCGAGTGGACCATGTTCTCTGCCTCAATCGCCGATGCGGCGGCTCGTAGCTGTGGTCGCAAGGTCTCTGGTGCTGGTCCCGGCGGCAACCCCCGAACCCGGTGGTGGACACCGGCAGTAAGGGATGCTGTCAGGCTGAAGAAGGAGTCCTATCGAGCCATGATGGTTCGGGGGACTCCTGAGGCAGCTGTCCAGTACCGGCAGGCCAAGCGTGCCGCGGCCCGGGCTGTTGCAGAGGCAAAAACCCGGGACTGGGAGGAGTTTGGAGAGTCCATGGAGCATGACTATCGGTCGGCCTCGAAGAGATTCTGGCAAACCATCCGGCGCCTCAGGAGGGGGAAGCAGTTCTTTGCCAACACCATGTACGGTGCGGGTGGAGAGCTGCTGACCTCGACTGGGGATATTGTCGGGCGGTGGAAGGAATACTTTGAGGTTCTCCTCAATCCCCCCGTCACGTCCTCTGTTACAGAGGCAGAGGCTGAGGATGTTGGGGCGGATGCATCCATCTCCCTGGCTGAGGTCACCAAGGTGGTTGGTAGCCTCCATGGTGGCAAGGCTCCGGGTGTGGATGAGATCCGCCCTGACTATCTAAAGTCTCTGGATGTTGTGGGACTGTCTTGGCTGACACGTCTCTGCAACATCGCGTGGCGATCGGGGGCAGTGCCAATGGAGTGGCAGACCGGGGTGGTGGTCCCTCTCTACAAGAAGGGGGACCGGAGGGTGTGTTCCAATTATCGTGGGATCACACTCTTCAGCCTCCCCGGTAAGGTCTACTCCAAGGTACTGGAGAGGAGGTTACGGCCGATGGTCGAATCTCGGATCGAGGAGGAGCAGTGTGGTTTTCGTCCCGGTTGCGGAACACTGGACCAGCTCTATACTCTCCATCGGATACTCGAGGGTTCATGGGAGTTCGCCCAACCTGTCCACATGTGCTTTGTGGATTTGGAGAAGGCGTTCGACCGTGTTCCCCGGGGTGTCCTTTGGGGGGTTCTCCGGGAGTACAGGGTCCTCTGCTGAGGGCCGTCCGATCCCTGTATGACCGGAGTCAGAGCTGTGTTCGCATTGCCGGCAGTAAGTCAGACCTGTTCCCGGTGAATGTTGGCCTCCGACAGGGCTGCCCTTTGTCACCGGTTCTGTTCACTGTATTTATGGACAGAATATCTAGGCGCAGCCAGGGGTCGGAGGGGGTCCGGTTCGGAGACCACAGGATTTCATCTCTGCTGTTTGCGGACGATGTTGTCCTGTTGGCTCCAACGAACCAGGACCTGCAACATGCACTGGGGCGGTTTGCAGCCGAGTGTGAAGCGGCTGGGATGAGAATCAGCACCTCCAAATCCGAGGCCATGGTGCTCGACCGGAAAAAGGTGCCTTGCCCTCTGCAGGTGGGTGGAGAGGTCCTTCCTCAAGTGGAGGAGTTCAAGTATCTCGGGGTCTTGTTCACGAGTGAGGGAAGGATGGAGCGTGAGATTGACAGGCGGATCGGTGCAGCGTGCGCAGTGATGCGGTCGCTGTATCGGACCGTTGTGGTAAAGAGGAAGCTGAGCCGAAAGGCAAAGCTCTCGATTTACCGGTCAATCTTCGTTCCCTCCCTCACCTATGGTCATGAGCTTTGGGTAATGACCGAAAGAACGAGATCGCGGATACAAGCGGTCGAAATGAGCTTCCTCCGCAGAGTGGCTGGGCGCTCCCTTAGAGATAGGGTGAGGAGCTCAGTCACACGGGAGGAGCTCGGAGTAGAGCCGCTGCTTCTCCACGTCGAGAGGAACCAGTTGAGGTGGCTCGGGCATCTGTTCCGGATGCATCCTGGACGCCTTCCTGGGGAGGTGTTCCGGGCACGTCCCACTGGGAGGAGGCCCCGCGGAAGACTTAGGACACGCTGGAGGGACTATGTCTCTCAGCTGGCCTGGGAACGCCTTGGGGTCCCCCCGGACGAGCTGGAGGAGGTGTGTGTGGATAGGGAAGTCTGGGCGTCTCTGCTTAGACTGCTGCCCCCGCGACCCGGCAACGGATAAAGCGGAAGAAAATGGATGGATGGAAGGATGGCATTTGTTTACTGTTTTATTTGTTTTATTTCTGTCTTTTATTGTCTGTATTTGTCTGTGCACACTGGAGACTTTTGCTAATGTATTCCTATGTGGTTTTACTGCAAATGGCAAATAAAATGAATCTGAATCTGAATCAGAGACACGCAACATAAAGAGACACACACTGAGACAGACAACATGAAGAGACACACAACATGAAGAGACACATGAGACCAGACCCTCTCTTCATATTCTGTACGTTTACACTAATACAACAAGGACCAAGCTCCTCTCTTGCACCTCCTCTGGCACCTCCTCTGGCTCCTCCTCTGGCACCTACTCTGGCACTTCCTCTCGCACCTCATCTGGCTCCTCCTCTGGCTCCTCCTCTGGCTCCTCCTCTGTCTCCTCCGCTGGCTCCTCTTCTGGGCCCTCCTCTAGCTCCTCCTCTGGCTCCTCCTCTGGCACCTCCCCTGTCACCTCCCCTGGCTCCTCCTCTGGATCCTCCTCTAGCTCCTCCTTTGGCTCCTCCTCTCGCACTTTTTCTGGCTCCTCCTCTGGCTCATCCTCTAGCTCCTCCTCTGGTCCCTCCTCTAGCTCCTCTGGTCCCTCCTCTGGCTCCTCCTCAGGCTCCTCCTCTGTGACCTCCTCTGGCACTTCTTCTGGCGCCTCCTCTGGCTCCTCCTCTGGCTCCTCCTCTGGCACCTCCCCTGGCTCCTCCTCTAGCTCCTCCTTTGGCTCCTCCTCTGGCACTTTTTCTGGCTCCTCCTCTGGCTCATCCTCTAGCTCCTCCTCTGGTCCCTCCTCTAGCTCCTCCTCTGGTCCCTCCTCTGGCTCCTCCTCTGGCTCCTCCTCTGTGACCTCCTCTGGCACTTCTTCTGGCGCCTCCTCTGGCTCCTCCTTTGGCGCCTCCTCTGGCACTTTTTCTGGCTCCTCCTCTGGCTATTCTTCTGGCTCCTCCTCTGGTCCCTCCTCTGGCTCCTCCTCTCGCACTTCCCCTGGCTCCTCCTCTGGCTCCTCCTCTAGCTCCTCCTTTGGCTCCTCCTCTGGCACTTTTTCTGGCTCCTCCTCTGGCTCATCCTCTAGCTCCTCCTCTGGTCCCTCCTCTAGCTCCTCCTCTGGTCCCTCCTCTGGCTCCTCCTCTGGCTCCTCCTCTGTGACCTCCTCTGGCACTTCTTCTGGCGCCTCCTCTGGCTCCTCCTTTGGCGCCTCCTCTGTCTCCTCCTCTGGCACCTCCTCTGTCTCCTCCTCTGGCTCCTCCTCTGGCTCCTCCTTTGTCTCCTTCTCTGGCACTTCTTCTGGCTCCTCCTCTGGCACTTCTTCTGGCTCCTCCTCTGGCTCCTCATTTGGCTCCTCCTCTTTCACTTCTTCTGGCTCCTCCTCTGGCTCATCCTCTGGCACCTCCTCTGTCTCCTCCTCTGTTACCTTCTCTGGCACCTCCTTTGGATCCTCCTTTGTCTCCTCCTCTGGCACTTCTTCTGGCTCCTCCTCTGGCTCCTCCTCTGGTCCCTCCTCTGGCTCCTCCTCTGGCTCCTCATTTGGCTCCTCCTCTGAAACTTTTTCTGGCTCATCCTCTGGCTCCTCCTCTGGTCCCTCCTCTGGCACTTCTTCTGGCTCATCCTCTGGCTCCTCCTCTGGCTCCTCCTTTGTCTCCTTCCCTGGCAGTTCTTCTGGCTCCTCCTCTGGCACCTCCTCTGGCACTTCTTCTGGTTCCTCCTCTGGCTCCTCCTTTGGCTCCTCCTCTTTCACTTCTCCTGGCTCCTTCTCTGGCTCATCCTCTGGCACCTCCTCTGTCTCCTCCTCTGGCACCTCCTCTGGATCCTCCTTTGGCTCCTCCTCTGGCACTTCTTCTGGCTCCTCCTCTGGCTCCTCCTCTGTCTCCTCCTCTGGCTCTTCTTTTGGCTCCTCTGGCACTTTTTCTGGCCCCTCCTCTGGCTCCTCTTCTGGCGCCTCCTCTGGCACTTCTTCTGGCTACTCCTCTGGCTCCTCCTTTGGCTCCTCCGCTTTCAGTTCTTCTGGCTCCTCCTCTGGCTCATCTTCTGGTACCTCCTCTGGTGCCTCCTCTAGCTCCTCCTCTGGTCCCTCCTCTGGCTCCTCCTCTGGTCTCTCCTCTGGCTCCTCCTCTGTCTCCTCCTCTGGCACTTCCTCTGGCTCCTCCTCTGGCTCCTCCTCTGGCTCCTCCTCTGGCTCCTCCTCTGGTCCCTCCTCTGGCTCCTCCTCTGTCTCCTCCTCTGGCACTTCTGGCTCCTCCTCTGGCTCCTCCTCTGGCGTCTCCTCTGGCTCCTCCTCTAGTCCCTCCTCTGGCTCCTCCTCTGGCTCCTCCTCTGTCACTTTTTCTGGCTCCTCCTCTGGCAATTCTTCTGGCTCATCCTCTGGCTCCTCCTCTATCTCCTACTCTGGCACCTCCTCTGTCTCCTCCTCTGGCTCCTCCTTTGTCTCCTTCCCTGGCACTTCTTCTGGCTCCTCCTCTGGCTCCTCCTCTGGCACCTCCTCTGGAACTTCTTCTGGTTCCTCCTCTGGCTCCTACTTTGGCTCCTCCTCTTTCACTTCTTCTGGCTCCTCCTCTGGCTCATCCTCTGGCACCTCCTCTGTCTCCTCCTCTATTACCTCCTCTGACACCTCCTCTGGCACTTCTTCTGGCTCATCCTCTGGCTCCTCCTCTGGCTCCTCCTCTGGCGCCTCCTCTGGCACGTCCTCTGGCTCCTCCTCTGTCACCTCCTCCTGCTCTTCTTTTGGCTCCTCTGGCACTTTCTCTGGCTCCTCCTCTGGCATTTCTTCTGGCTCCTCCTCTGGCTCCTCCTTTGGCTCCTTCTCTTTCACTTCTTCTGGCTCCTCCGCTGGCACTTCTTCTGGCTCATCCTCTGGCTCCTCCTCTGGCTCCTCCTCTGGCGCCTCCTCTGGCGCCTCCTCTGGCACGTCCTCTGGCTCCTCCTCTGTCACCTCCTCTGGCTCTTCTTTTGGCTCCCCTGGCACTTTTTCTGGCTCCTCCTCTGGCATTTCTTCTGGCTCCTCCTTTGGCTCCTTCTCTTTCACTTCTTCTGGCTCCTCCTCTGGTTCATCCTCTGGCACCTCCTCTGGTGCCTCCTCTAGCACCACCTCAGTCTCCTCCTCTGGCACTTCTTCTGGCTCCTCCTTTGGCTCCTCCTCTTTCACTTCTTCTGGCTCCTCTTCTGGTCCCTCCTCTGGCTCCTCCTCTGGTCCCTCCTCTGGTCCCTCCTCTGGCTCCTCTCCTGGCTTCTCCTCTGGCTCCTCCTTTGGCTCCTCCTTTGGCTCCTCCTTTGGCTCCTCCTCTGGCACTTTCTCTGGCTCCTCCTCTGGCTCTTCTTTTGGCTCCTCTGGCACTTTTTCTGGCTCCTCCTCTGGCTCTTTCTCTGGCGCCTCTTCTGGCTCCTCCTCTGGCACCTCCTCTGGCTCCTCTTCTGGCTCCTCCTCTGCCTCCTCCTTTGGAACCTCATCTGGCTCCTCCTCTGGCACCTCCTGTGGCTCCTCCTCTGGCACCTCCCCTGGCTCCTCCTCTAGTACCTCCTCTGGCTACTCCTCTGGCTCCTCTTCTGGCTCCTCCTCTGACACCTCCTCTGGCACCTCCTGTGGCTCCTTCTCTGGCGTCTCCTCTGGCTCCTCCTCTGGCTCCTCCTCTGGCACTTATTCTGGCTCCTCCTCTGGCTCATCCTCTGGATCCTCCTCTGGCACTTCTTCTGGCTCCTCCTCTGTCTCCTCCTCTGGCTCCTCCTCTGGCACCTCCTCTGTCTCCTCCTCTGGCACCTCTTCTGTCTCCTACTCTGGCACCTCCTCTGTCTCCTCCTCTGGTACCTCCTCCATTATTCAGCAGACTGTATTTATCCATTCTGTTTTATTGTGCCTCCTTGTACCTCCCTGTGACCTCCCTGTGACCTCCTTGTGCCTCTTTGTACCTCCCTGTGACCTCCTTGTACCTCCTTGTACCTCCCTGTGTCTCCTTGTGACCTCCCTGTGACCTCCTTGTACCTCCCGGTGCCTCCTTGTACCTCCCTGTGACCTCCCTGTGACCTCCTTGTGCCTCCCTGTGACCTCCTTGTACCTCCCTGTGACCTCCTTGGGCCTCCTGCAGATGACTTCCTCCTGCTCCTCTGCGCCTCCCTCCAGTGGACGGTGTTTGAGGAGGAGAACCGAGCTGTAGTTCGACTTTTGGCCGGAGACAACGTAGAGATCAGCCGCAGCCTGGACCCGGTCTCCTTCACCTGCGTCCTCCCGGTCTCTAACTTCCTCCACTGCAGGTCATACAGTTTAAACATATATATATATAATATATATATATATATATATATATATATATATATATAATATATATATATATATATATATATATATATATATATATATATATATATATATATATATGTAGGATAAGAATAATGTAGTAGATGTATAGTGTAGTGCGGCTAGCCTCTAGATCAGAGTCTTGCCGTACTCCACGAGTGGGGGATCTGCTTTTATTTTGGGCACCAGCAGAGTTTGAAAACTTCTGCACAGATCCAACTAATTTGCCTCGAATCAGTCTTATAATCTAATAGGTAGTGAATGCGTATATCGGCCAGGGATATCCAAGATTTAACACACGACGCTGAAGTGATTGAGTTAAAGATAACGGGGTTTATTGACTACAAAATGAAAATAGAAAATATAACGAAAAGGGTTTCTGGTCACATTAAACAGAAGTTGTATACATATCATTCGAATCACACTTCCAACAAGGAACAGTCTTACTTTGAGCAGCGTAGAGGGTCGAAGAAAGGGTTTGGGGATAAATGGCCAGTCCACGTGTTCTCTTTTGTCCGGGCAGGCGGGAGACACGAAGCCAGCGGATCTAGTCCAACTTTGATCCACGCATATACAGCTGTTGTTGTTAGCGGCTCACAGCCGCTACGACCAGAGCGGCCGCAGCTGCCCCGGGGTGTGCCTTCAGGGTGTGCCCCCGGGGTATGCACTCAGGGTGTGCCCCCGGGGTGTGCCCCCGGCGTGTGCCTTCAGGGTGTGCCCCCGGCGTGTGCCTTCAGGGTGTGCCCCCGGGGTGTGCCTTCAGGGTGTGCCGCCGGGGTATGCACTCAGGGTGTGCCCCCGGGGTGTGCCCCCGGGGTGTGCCCCCCGGGTGTGCCTTCAGGGTGTGCCCCCGGGGTATGCACTCAGGGTGTGCCCCCGGGGTGTGCCCCCCGGGTGTGCCTTCAGGGTGTGCCCCCCGGGTGTGCCTTCAGGGTGTGCCCCCGGGGTGTGCACTCAGGGTGTGCCCCCGGGGTATGCACTCAGGGTGTGCCCCCGGGGTGTGCCTTCAGGGTGTGCCCCCGGGGTATGCACTCAGGGTGTGCCCCCGGGGTATGCACTCAAGGTGTGCCCCCGGGGTGTGCCCCCGGGGTATGCACTCAGGGTGTGCCCCCGGGGTGTGCCCCCCGGGTGTGCCTTCAGGGTGTGCCCCCGGGGTGTGCCGGGGAAGGCGGACTTCAGTTCACAGACTTTAGCCCCGCGGTCAGGCGTACATTCTTTAAAAACTTGAATTCCCAGAGCCATCTCACACACACATGTGTACACGCCATTTTGAATGATATTATGGATAACGAGGCGGGTCATGTGTTAATGCGTTAATTCTAAAGGTTTTCTAAAAACATGCACAATAGGTCTGAATGTAGATGAGAGAGTGAATGATGGTGTTGGAGCTGATGGTTTCTGTCATCACCGTGTGTGGAAGGATTGTCTCACCCTCTGTCTCCCCCTCTCCCTCACCCCTCTCCCTCTCTCTGCAGGTCCTACCTGGACATGGTGAAGGTCTTCGTGTTTAGTTATTTCTTCTGGCTGGTTCTGTGCCTGATCTTCATCACTGGCACCACTCGCATTAACATATTTTGCCTGGGCTACCTCGTCTCGTGCTTCTACTTCATGCTGTTTGGGGGCAGTGTCCTGATGCAGCCTGTGGCCTACATCCTACGGCTGTGGGACTGGCTCATAGCCTACACCTGTGTGGTCATCGCTATAAAGAACCTACTGTCTGTGAGTACCTACTGTGTAGGAACCTACTGTCTGTGAGAACCTACTGTGTAGGAACCTACTGTCTGTGAGAGCTTACTGTCTGTGAGTACCTACTGTGTCGGAACCTACTGCTGTGAGAACCTACTGTCTGTGAGTACCTACTGTGTCAGAACCTACTGCTGTGAGAACCTACTGTCTGTGAGTACCTACTGTGTAGGAACCTACTGCTGTGAGAATCTACTGTCTGTGAGAACCTACTGTGTAGGAACCTACTGTCTGTGAGAACCTACTGTCTGTGAGTACCTACCGTGTATGACAACCTACTGTCTGTGAGAACCTACTGTCTTTGAGTACCTACTGTGTCGGAACCTACTGTCTGTAAGAACCTACTGTGTAAGAACCTACTGCTGTGAGAACCTACTGCTGTGAGAACCTACCCACTAAGCAAGCCGACGTTGAAACAACGTCATTTGAACGTCGTTGCCTGACGTAGAATATAGGTCACTGGTGGGTGCAGAATGAAAGTTTTCCCGACGTCTTTTCCCGACGTCACCTCAACCTCCAAATGTGACGTTGATGGCACGTCAATTCAAGGTTTGAATGTGGTACGGAACCGGTCGGGTCCGACGTCCTATCGACGTCTTATATGACCAAAATATTGACGTTTATACGCGTTCTGATAATGCTGTTTCAGCTACAGTTGAACCTGATGAAATCTCACACAACAAAGAGACAAAGTTAATCTTTTACTTGTTACATTGTCACAAGGAGAATGTCTTGACAGAGGCAAGGCACAGACCCTAGCCTCTCTCAGGACAAGTCTGAAGATTCACAGTCTGCAAGCCCCTTTTGGTAGAGCAAGACACACCTTCGTATGCAAAATAGGAAAGGAAGAAACCAACACAACAAAAGACACTCCGAATTAGCGTATACAAAGACTGCTTCCTCTGGTGTTTAACATATGAGCTCTCCAGACCTCCCGGTGTCTTGCCGGAGCTAAAGTGGATTACAATACAGAGCATTCAGCACATAGCGGCACGGTGGCTGAGTGGATAGCACTCTAGCCTCTCAGCAAGAAGGTCCTGGGTTCAAATCCCGGCCGGACCAGGGCCTTTCTGAGTGGAGTTTGCATGTTCTCCCCGTGTCTGCGTAGGTTTCCTCCGGGTACTCCGGTTTCCCCTACCACTAAAAATATGTCCAATAGTTCTGGCATGCGCCTCCTGTACTGGCGACCCCGCTCCCATCTCTGTGTGGAGTGAGAGACAAATGCCCAAAAATTAACAATTGTAAACCGCTTTGAGACTCTGGTCTGCAGTGAAAAGGCGGTATATAAATAAAAAACTTACTTACTTACTTACACATAGCCACATATGATTTACCAAAATGATAACTTTAGTTACATTCCAATATCACGTTTGTTTTCAGTCGTTTTCACTAAGCAAGCAGATGTCAAAACAACGTCATTTCAACATCATCTGGACGTTATCTGGACGTTCATTCAAGGTTGCAATGTGGTACAGAACCGGTCGGGTCTGACGTCCTATCGACGTCTTATATGACCAGAATATTGACGTTTATCCATCCATCCATCCATTTTCTACCCTTTAATCCATTTCTGGGTGAGGGGGGTGGCAGTCAGAGATGCCACCCAAGTCTCATAGCACCAGCCCCTCACTGACCCTCTGCAGGTGGTGAGTCCACAGGAGGACGGCTGCTCTCTGAGTGTGAGCATAGCCTTGGTCTTTCAGCGGGGGCTTTGGGCAAAGTGGGGTTAAGTGTCTTGCCCAAGGACACAACGACAGCAGTCATCAGTGGGAGTCGGTGGAGAAGGTGCAGAGGTGGGAAATGAACCCACGACCTTCTGGCCTTAAGGCCAATGCTCAACCAACTGAGCTACTGTCGCCCTTGACGTTTATATGACGTCCATTTACAGTCCTATTGACCCACTTAACTTCTGCAGAATCACTTACTAGTCGAGACATACTTGCAATAGGCAAGGCAAGTTTATTTGTATAGCACAGTTCAAACAAAAGGATAGAAACAATCAAACATGGCATTACAATTATAAGTAATCACTGTAAATTAAAAAGATACAAATAAAATCTTTCAGTTGTAGCAGAAACAGAATTGTTTTAAACCTGGATTTTAACATTGTCAAAGAAGAAGCCTTTCTTATATTTCCAGGAAGACCGTTCCAGATTTTAGCCTTGTGAATCTGAAATGCAGCTATATCATGTTTAGTTTTGACTCTGGGCAATAAACGATAAACACAGCATTCAAAAAGCATTAGAACAATAGAAGGATATCAGCCATTATTGCAAATTCATGGAGCTGCATTAAAAATCATGTTTCCCTACATCAAAGTCACAAGTGTTAAACCGGTCACAGTGTTATGAACACTACTGTACTGAACAGTTAATGCCAAAGAGCAAAAAACATGATTGTAGCGCCTATGTTTGGATCAGTATTAAAACAGGCACAAGCTACACTCTAGGTTCCCCAGATGTAAAAACACAATCTGAAAGGCAGAAGAATGCATTTATTGAATGTTGAGGTGTTCCAACATGTGTCCTCTCTTGGTCTTCAGTCTCTCATCACAAGGTCCAAGCACAGCACCTGAAAATGTGGAACATGTTTAGTTTCAACATAATGTGGCAAAGTCATATATAACATCTTAGAACTTTCTGTTAATGCCTCCATTCACTCGATCCATCATCATGTGATACAAACCTTGGCACTGCACTCGCTCGAGACACTGGAAGACACTCAGTTTGAGAAACTTGGGATAAGGCTTTGGTCATTGGAGTTATTCCATGTAAAAAACAATTGCAAATGTGCATTAGTTTTGCACATGGACAAATGAGCCCTGAAAGCTACTTACCCTGTGTTACTCTATACACGTTGCATTTCCGAGGGGGCATTTTCCCCTTGTTGCTCTTTTCCTTCATCTTGAGTGAGTTGCTGAACAATCTGAGAAAAAGATATGTTTTCAAAAAGAATACACCAAATAATGGTTTATTCTAAAAACAACATAATAATACAGAAGAACAATCAATGTGTGAGAGTCTTACCTTTGAACACCTTCAACACAGTCTGAAACCTTCAACACAGTCTGACACCTTCAACACAGTCTGACACCTTCAACACAGTCTGACACCTTCAACACAGTCTGATACCTTCAACACAGTCTGACACCTTCAACACAGTCTGACACCTTCAACACAGTCTGACACCTTCAACACAGTCTGACACTTTCAACAGTCTGATACCTTCAACACAGTCTGACACCTTCAACACAGTCTGACACCTTCAACAGTCTGACACCTTCAACAGTCTGACACCTTCAACACAGTCTGACACCTTCAGCACAGTCTGACACCTTCAACACAGTCTGACACCTTCAACACAGTCTGACACCTTCAACACAGTCTGACACCTTCAACACAGTCTGACACCTTCAACACAGTCTGACACCTTCAACACAGTCTGACACCTTCAACACAGTCTGACACCTTCAACACAGTCTGATACCTTCAACACAGTCTGACACTTTCAACAGTCTGACACCTTCAACACAGTCTGACACCTTCAACACAGTCTGACACCTTCAACACAGTCTGACACCTTCAACACAGTCTGACACCTTCAACACAGTCTGGCACCTTCAGCACAGTCTGACACCTTCAACACAGTCTGACACCTTCAGCACAGTCTGACACCTTCAACAGTCTGACACCTTCAACACAGTCTGACACCTTCAACACAGTCTGACACCTTCAACACAGTCTGACACCTTCAACACAGTCTGATACCTTCAACACAGTCTGACACTTTCAAAAGTCTGATACCTTCAACAGTCTGACACCTTCAACAGTCTGACACCTTCAACACAGTCTGACACCTTCAACAGTCTGACACCTTCAACACAGTCTGACACCTTCAGCACAGTCTGACACCTTCAACACAGTCTGACACCTTCAACACAGTCTGACACCTTCAACACAGTCTGACACCTTCAACACAGTCTGACACCTTCAACACAGTCTGACACTTTCAACAGTCTGATACCTTCAACAGTCTGACACCTTCAACAGTCTGACACCTTCAACACAGTCTGACACCTTCAACAGTCTGACACCTTCAACACAGTCTGACACCTTCAGCACAGTCTGACACCTTCAACACAGTCTGACACCTTCAACACAGTCTGACACCTTCAACACAGTCTGACACCTTCAACACAGTCTGACACCTTCAACACAGTCTGACACTTTCAACAGTCTGATACCTTCAACAGTCTGACACCTTCAACAGTCTGACACCTTCAACAGTCTGACACCTTCAACACAGTCTGACACCTTCAACAGTCTGACACCTTCAACACAGTCTGACACCTTCAGCACAGTCTGACACCTTCAACACAGTCTGACACCTTCAACACAGCCTGACACCTTCAACACAGTCTGACACCTTCAACACAGTCTGACACCTTCAACACAGTCTGACACCTTCAGCACAGTCTGACACCTTCAGCACAGTCTGACACCTTCAACAGTCTGACACCATCAACACAGTCTGACACCTTCAACACAGTCTGACACCTTCAACAGTCTGACACCATCAACACAGTCTGACACCTTCAACACAGTCTGACACCTTCAGCACAGTCTGACACCTTCAACACAGTCTGACACCTTCAGCACAGTCTGACACCTTCAGCACAGTCTGACACCTTCAACACAGTCTGACACCTTCAACACAGTCTGACACCTTCAACACAGTCTGACACCTTCAGCACAGTCTGACACCTTCAAACACAGTCTGACACCTTCAACACAGTCTGACACCTTGAACACAGTCTGACACCTTCAACAGTCTGACACCATCAACACAGTCTGACACCTTCAGCACAGTCTGACACCTTCAACACAGTCTGACACCTTCAACACAGTCTGATACCTTCAACACAGTCTGACACCTTCAACAGTCTGACACCTTCAACACAGTCTGACACCTTCAACACAGTCTGACACCTTCAACACAGTCTGACACCTTCA